GGACGAAATTTTCGTAAAATGGCAAATAGAAGTAAATGTTTTTGTATGATGATTTCATCTGTTGGGCACTTGTGAGGTGTAACCTCTGTTGATGGGTTAAATGCAGTGGATGTATCTATTGAACTAAGACAAATGAATTGAGATGCGAGTTTGGCATAACATGGTTTTGGAAAGAGTTATAGAGATTTTTTCGTAGGACAATGAACATGTGCATTATACTTATATCTTGTTAATTCTTATATATTATGTTAGTATGTTTCTACTGGGCTTTGGCTCACCCTACTTGGGAACCATTTTCAGGTGCTGAAGACATGCTTCCGCCAAGACAGTAGTTTGGGGAGACTTGGAACAAAAGCTTCCTTTTTGTTTATTTATTTTGTATAGCGGAGGGCTAAGTTGTGTTAAGTTAGACTTTTCCTTTTTGCTGTAACCAAACAATGTCTTGGAAAGATGTAAGCCTGTGGGGCATTTATTTTGTTGATCATTATAACTGGTATTACATGTTATAGATTCAAGATGAATATTTATGAATGTATATTGCATATGTTATCTTTTGTAATACGACTCTGATGAATGTAAGCATACCAATTCTATCATACTCACTTCTCTTATGAGTTGGATTAGTTGCATTATTTTGGGGGCGTTACAATTAGTCCTATCCCATACTTGAATTCTTTCAAACAAACATCACCTTTATTTATAGTATAGATAGATAAATTTACTTAAAATTTAATTTATGAAGTCAAGAATCATTCATTACATTTATAATTTTGAATAATTTTTTGATTTGAAATTCTGAATAGATAGACTTTATTATGTAAAAAAAAATAATGAAAGGTGTAAAATTTTGGGAACCAAGTTTAGAGGCTATTTTAGCCTCTTAAGAAAAAAATCCAAAATAGCCTTACTGTTGGGGAAATTCTATTTTCACACGCCCACTTATCTCAGTACACACACTTAATGAAATATTATTTTAACAACAATTATGTCCTAAACTAAAATTACCATAATGGACATCCACAAACATCCATAATATTATATGAAAATATTCTCTGTGCACATCTTTTATGCTATTGTATCTGCAGTTTTACATTACCCGACTTAGACTAGTCAGTTGAAAGAGTAGAGCCCAGCAGAGTTTCTTGCTCTGACTTTAGAAATTCTTGATTTCCATACCACTTTCAGATCAAGAAAAATCCCTTATTTCTGATACAAAACCAGTCACTCTCAACCATGAACAATAAAAGAAAACTAGTACCAATGGAATCGATGTTGTTTCTTGTGGTCTTTTTCACAATGTTTCAAGGATCTTTTGGAGATTCCAAGTAGACAAAATCGTAGGCCTCTTATGGACTTGGGTCCTCTGTGGTCTTCCTTGTTAGTGGAAATGTTTATCCAAATGGGTATGTGTCGTTTGATTATGGGTTTTTATGTTTGATTTTGGAAATGCAATCTTCAATGAAGTGTCAGGTTTTCATTTTGTTTAATAGAGTTTCTTTTCATTGTTGAAGTCTTTACTGTGAACCAAAATAGGGATGACGTTGCTCTTCAACTTTGGATTGGTGTGTGGAAAGAGGGTTAGTGTGTGGAAAGAGGGTTGAGGTGGTGTGTACACAATGTATGAGTTAAGGGTATGATTGGCATAATTGGTGTGTGGAATGAGAACAAAAAATAATAATCAAACTACTAAGTATGTGCATTAAGAAAATATGTACATTGAGGTAACTATGTGTGTAGAAATAAAGGCTGTGTTTGGTTAGATGTTCAAACTATGATTCCACCGTTTGGTTTTAGTATGGTGTTTGTTTAGAATTTTCAAAAGTCAATTCCACACCCACTTTTGAAAATTCTATCCAAGGCGGAAAAATTTGGGCTAACCCGTCGTCCTCCCAAATGTCCGATCGGTCATTTTCTTGGACATCCAGTCGGTTGACCGGTACAATGTAAATTTATTTATTTTTTTTTTTTACAATTGGCACATGTTTTTTTTATATTTTAAATACAAAAAAAAATTTGAAAATTTTTAAAAAAAATTTATGAGTTATGAATAGAATTTTGAGTTGTGTGTTTGGTTATAAGTTATAAGTTTTTGTATCAAATATCATATATCACATCACAATTCAAAACTCATTCACCAAATAAATTTTCTACACCCAAATCATAATTCTAAAACTCACAAACTCAAAATACAACTCTATTCTCAAATCATATTTAGAAAACTCTACCAAACGCTACCAGAATTTCCCTTACTGTTGCTCAACCCCAACCACTTGATGCACAACTGTCATCCATAGAGTGCAAAATGACACTTTTGCCCTTTTAATATTTGAGAAACCCACAGCAAATGCCACATTAGCAAGATTTTTTTATTCGTTGGAAAGGAGCTGTACATTTGTAAAAGGGCATTTTGGTCATTTATTTTTCCAACATTATTTCAAACACATTTTCTAGTACACTAATCCAACAAAAAATTCAACCCATTTTTCTAAACACAAAAACTAAAATAGTCAAAAAGCTTAAATACTTTATTATGTGAAAAAATAATATGATTGAATGACTATTGATTCACATTTTCATCAATTGGGCCACAAGGATATCAAGAGTGACATAAATGGCACTCAATTAATATATATATATATATATATACATAATTAAAAATTTGGACAAAATGCAGATAAATAGGAAGATTAGAAGTAATTACAAAAGAGTGAGTACAAATATGTAACAATTCACCACATTATGTCAAGAGTGATATAAATTGCGTTTAATTAATTTTTAATTTTTTTTTTGAATAATCAATTTTTTTTCTTGAACCAAGAAAATGTAAGAAATTTTGAGGCTACATATATATGAAAATAATATTATTTAATAAAATTCTTGAATTCAATATCACACCTAATAAGTGAGCGTCTCATCTATCAAGACAATCAGTCTTAAATTTTATCATATTTAATATGATAATGTTATTATTTATACATTCATATGATCTTCACACCTTTAATTAATGGGAAAATTGGTCTAATATCCCTCTCCAACTTTTAATAATGGGAGAGGTCCACAATATTTTTTTTATAGCCTAAAGTCCCTCACCCATACCCATATATCACACCTACCGTCTCATTCTCTCTCCATGCCCTGCCTCCTATTCCAAACCTTGGCCCCCTGAAATCAATTCCTTTCTCAACAACTCAATCCCCGAAATGTCCAAAATTGGATCCAATTTCCCAACAACCCAATCAGATACCTGTGCAATCTGTTGCCTGACTAAGACCCGAGAGTTCACTCTGATTGAGGTAATTCTTGGTGGATCGATGAAGATATTGAGAGGGACACCAACCTCGGTAATAATGAGGTTCAAGGCAGTGTAGAGCCGGCTCATCACCACACTTTTGGGCATGATTTGGTGGTGCTAAAGGGTAGCAAAAGGGTGTGGATTTTGAGCAAGAAAGAGAATTACGATTTGGGTGTTGGTGATTTCTTGTTCACGCCGGCTGGGGATGTACATTGGGTGAAGTATTTTGAGGATACTGAGTTTTTCATCAAGTGAGATGGGCATTAGGATCTTTTGATGGATGAGGATTTGATGCTGCCAATGCTTCTATTCAAAAGGAGATTTAGTTGGTGGGTTGGTGTGAAAATGGAGGTATGGGTGAGCAAACGAAAGAAAATTGTGTTAGCTTTTTAATCAATTTTTTCTAATTGAGTCAACGTACAAAGAAAATGGTTAGTAAATTGGAGAGAAATTCTGGAATTTTCAAAGAATTTCTCTGGGTTCACCCCAGAGAAAATTCAAATTTCTCTGGGTTCGTTTTGACCAATTTTTTCTGGGTTCATTTATAAACCAGAGAAAATTTAAATTTCTCTGAATTCATTTTAACTAATTTTCTCTGGATCAAAAAGACACATTATTTTATGAAATCCAGTGAAATTCCTAAATACATCTTCAAAAAACTAATCATCACATAAATTTATTCCAACAACTGTTAATAAGTTAAAACAAACCAAAAATGAAATTTGAACAAGACTAGAATTACCCACTACAATATTCATCATTGATCAAATGACCCACAAATTTATGAACTAAAAAGTTCTACAAAAATCCTCAGAAATTTTGTCTGGAGTTTTGGTGAATTTCTGTGAGGTTGAACTGAATTTCTCTGGACTGAGAGAATTTCTCTGGATTGAAGTGAGTCCAGAGAAATTCTGGTAAGATTTTCTCTGTGAAGTCGATTTTTTTCTGGTGTTGATTGAATTTTTGATTAAATTTCTCTGGTTTGGATCAGAGAAATTCTCTGGTTTGGAAATCTATAGTTTGTTTATGTATATTTCTTGGTTTCAATGCTCACCAACCATTTGGTTTTGAGTAAATTTTAAGCTCATCATGAGATTACAGGTGTTTAGGGTTTGAAGGATTCTGACTTGTTTGCAATATATGTTAAAAGAGTTTGAATCTAGTGAAATTTCAATTTTCTCTGCCCTGTTTGAAATTTTCTATGTGCTATGTCCAGAGAAATTCGGAATTTTCTCTATAATGTGTCAAGAGAAATTCTCTAGATCAAATTTTCTCTGGATCGATGTTGAGGGACCTGAGACATTATAGAAATATTGAGTGTCATTTATGCTATAAAATCTTAAGACAAAATCTTAAGACCAGGGACCTTAAAAAAAAATCCCCTTAATTAATTTAGAAATCATTAAAATTTTCAAAAATCTCTCCTCCTCCCTCTCAAAAAAAAAAAAAAAAAAAAAAAAAAAAAAAAAAAAAAAAAAAAAAAAAAAAGCACTTGTAAGTTGTAACCTTTTTTAATAGACCCATCATTATGTGATGCACACATGCCATTTGGGCCATTAGCTTTCATTCGATAACCAATTTTATCTAAAGCTAAAATTAAGGAAAATGTATGGTAGTTAAGAGGAGACTAGAATGTTCAGTCAATGGGAAACACAAAAAAACAGGGATAGACAAAATGATTGAGAAAAACAAAAATCAAAACATAAAAAAAAAATAGAGGAATAGAGGGGAAGAGAGAGCAATCTATCTTCTCATATTTTGCTTTCCCTTCAGTATTCTAATACTGAAGGGTAAAACAACAATTTGTTACAAAATCCAAGTCCTCTCTGTGTAGAACATAACCAACACAGAAGGATTTGGACCCATTTTGTTTTGATTGTTCTGTGCCAAGGTATGTTTTTTAATGCCTTTTTTAGCTTTTGTTCATTTTGAGCTATTTTATTGTGAAAAATATTTCACAAGCGATCTCTAAAATAGATTATGGTTGATAATAAAAAAAGTATTTTTTTAGCATAATCTGCCATATGACATTAATAGTCCAGATAAAATTTGGCAACTTTGTAAGCTTCCTGTTTTTTTTTTGTATATGATTATGTTTTCTTTAAATTTTTTGCAAAAAGACAAGAAACAAACAATATTTTGATTCGCCAAATTGTTCAAACTCTGTTTTTTTTTTTTTAATTTATTTATTTTTATAGCCAAAACTATCATCAAGTGTATTTGTTGTCTCTAATTTTCAAAATAGAAAACAAAAAGGGTAAATTACGCTTTTTAGTCCTGTAATTTAATTCGAATTTCATTTTGGTCCTTATTTTAATTTGAACAGCTTGAATCCTAAGTTGTAAATCCAATTCCATCTAAATTTGGTTAAAATTTTCTTCTTAAAGTGTTCCAAAACCTTTAACCTTTAATTTGAATGAAAAGATTAAATTAAAACCACACTTTAAATTGTAAGGAACAAATTCATCAATTTAAAACAATAAAAATAAAAATAAAATTAAATTTGAGTCAAATTATGGAGCATGTCCATTGTTTCTTACCAAGTTTATCATCGGAACCATTTCAGGTTGACACTTCCATCATACAATAATACATAAAATCCAAACAATCCCTTAAAAATCCATATGGCTCCTCCAAGTAAGCTGAGAAAAGCCATAGGAGCCGTGAAGGACAAGACGAGTATCGGCTTAGCCAAAGTCGGTGCTAGCGCTTCCCTCTCCGACCTCGATGTAGCCATCGTGAAGGCCACGCGCCACGAGGAATGCCCAGCCGAGGAACGCCACATCCGCGAGATCCTCAGCCTCACGTGCTACTCACACGCCTACATCTCGGCTTGCGTCTCCACCATCTCAAAGCGGCTCAGCAAAACCAAGAACTGGGTGGTGGCTCTCAAAACCCTAGCCCTCCTCCAACGCCTCCTCGCAGATGGAGACCCTGCTTACGAGCAGGAGATCTTCTTCGCGACGAGGCGTGGGACAAGGCTGCTAAATTTGTCAGAGTTTAGGGACACTTCGCGGTCCAATTCGTGGGATTACTCGGCATTTGCGAGGACTTATGCTTTATATCTTGATGAACAACTTGAGTTTAGAATGCAAGGGAGGAGGGGGAAGAGAAGCGGGTTTACGCAAGATGAGGGAGAGGAGGAGGGAAGTCCGACGGCAGTGGCGGCGGTGGTGGTGGGGAGAGCGACGCCGGTGAGGGATATGAGGAATGAGAGGTTGTTTTCGAGGGTTCAGCATTTGATGCAGCTAATGGAAAGGTTTCTGGCATGCCGGCCTAGAGGTTAGTCTACTATATATACTTCAGATTTGTCCAAATGATTCAAATTGTTGACTTTGTATGGCTTAATGTGAACTACATGCTTGATTTTAGATTTGTCTAAATGACTCAAATTGTTCACTTTGTATAGCTGAATTTGAATATCATATACCGTGCTTGTTTTTATTTTTTATAAAACACTTTTTAAAAAGTATTACTTTTTTATTTTTCATGTTTTTTTATTTTTATTGAATTTTTTTAATATTTTCAATAATTTTTTTACTTTTTAGACACATCTAACATAAATACATTTAAAAATCTAACATAAATACACTTAAAAAATAAAAAAAAATTATAAAAAAATATTTTAAAAATTTACTAAATACCAAAAATACAAAAAAAAGTTACAACAATTCAGTACATATTTTGTATTTTTATGTATTTATTAATTTTTTTGAATATTTTTTCACAAATTTTTTACTTTTTAAATACATCTAAATAAGGTGCATCTAAAAAAGTAAAAAAAATGTTTAAAATTTTAAAAATATTCACTAAAAATAAAAAAATACGAAAATTAAAAAACTCAATTTTTAAAAAATTTAATTCAGAAAACTCAAACTAAACACACTGATATGTATTATAATTAATTTATTAAAAAAATTATTAACTGTACTGATAACCTAATTAATTAGAATGTTATTTTTTTTTCCCCTTAAAAGCTTGAGTGGGCTGTCATGTGGACAGTTGACAAATATTCGGATAAATTAAAGAGACGTCCTAGTTTTATTAAAAATCTTATTGAAAGTGACTTGATTGAATTATATTGCCAGAAAAAATAATGGATAATATAATTTTAAAAATAATTTGTTAATTATTTTTCAAATAAATGTGTTCCGATCAAACAGTTTTTGATTTCTAATCAATCCAATTTTGCTATGCATGATTTTCTTTTAAAAATCATACAAAATCAACGATTTAAATTATCAAAGATAAATTCAAAATTAACCCACCGCAAGCCAGATTGGATAGTCCAAGATGATATAATTGGAAAAGAATTCAATGTGAGTCAATTTTTAATACCACTTTTACTATAATATATTATCACATATGTCAATATATTATTAATGTAATGTGCCCCATCATTTATATAATATAATACATGTTGTCTCGTTTATTAAAAAAATCCAATTATATAGTTGAATTTATTTTGATGGTATGAATTTATAACAATAATGTTATAATTACCATTTTCTTAACTATACCTTAACCATTGAATATTAATGCAATTTACATGAAGAAAACTTATGTGGCAGTGGGTCTCACTCATGAATGATTTGGTGTATGTGTCTTTGTTTTTTTTTTTTTTTTTTTGCCACCATATGCCACATCATTAGAGCCATTATTAGAGCTCCAAATTTGGAGTTAGGAATTATTGTTCTTTATATGAGATCTATTACATTAATGATTGTGATTGTGCCACATGAAATTACATATCAAATATGACGAGCATAGCATTATTGATTTTATAATTTTGTTGTTAGACAAAAATAAATAATAAGTTATTTTGTCAGATAATTTTGAAATTTAAAAAAAAAATGTTACTAAACATTGGTTTCTTGTTCGTATCAAATTGAAACATAGAACTCTCAAGAATACTTATACCAATATTTATAAGTATTTTTGCTTCGATGGTTTGAAACAGGTTCAGCACAAGACAATAGGGTTGTGCTCATGGCTCTCTACCCAGTGGTGAAAGAAAGTTTCCAGATATACTACGACATAACAGAAATACTAGGTATCTTGGTCGATCGATTCACTGGCTTGGAGGTCCCAGATTCTGTCAAAGTCTATGAGATCTTCTGTCGTGTTTCGAAGCAGTACGATGAGCTTGACGAGTTCTACGCCTGGTGCAAGCATGACGGGATTGCGCGAGCTTCTGAGTACCCAGATGTTGAAAAAATTTCACAGAATAAATTGGATGCAATGGATGAGTACATACAAGAAAAGACCGTGGCGGAACGAAACAGGAAGGTCATATATTTGGATCAAAATAATGGTGAGGAGGAAGAAGAGACGAAGCCAAAATACGAAGAAGTTGTCGAAGAGGATATGAACACAATCAAGGCGTTACCGCCGCCTGAAGGATTTCCCGAGGAGCCAGAGGAGGAAGAAGTGAAGGAGGAGACGAAGGAGAAAGAGAAAGAGAATGACATCGAGAAAGAAGTCGATTTGTTGAACTTGGGTGCAGATGCGGTGACAAGCGAAGAACATGGAGATAAATTGGCTTTAGCTTTGTTTGATGGTGGTGCACCAACAACAACAACTCCGGCATGGGAGGCATTCAAAGATACAGAAAACTGGGAGACCGCGCTGGTTCAATCCGCGAGCCATCTGTCGAACCAACAGGCATCGCTGCCTGTTGGTTTCGACATGATGTTGCTCAACGGCATGTATCAACAAGGAGCAACCGTGCAAGCAATGGCTTCCTCAGGACACGTGTCCACAGGGAGTACCAGCAGCGTCGCCTTTGGATCGGCTGGTAGGCCCGCTCCAATGTTGACGCTGCCCGCACCTCCTAGCGCAACAGACGGTACCGTTTCAACGAGCGCTGACCCATTTGCGGCGTCAGTGGTGGTGCCACCCCCGTCTTATGTCCAAATGGCGGAGATGGAGAAGAAACAGAGGTTGTTAGTGGAGGAGCAGCTGATGTGGCAACAATATACCAGGGATGGGATGCAAGGCCAAGTTGGCTTAACAAAGATGCAACAACCAAACCCTTATCCTTGCAATATGGGTGGTTACACACATACTTATTGAAACCCATTTTACAACATAGTTGTTTTCTTACTCAACATTTTTTTAAAATTTTTTGGTGGGGAGTCTTGGGGTGGCTTAGTGGATTGAGAAGGGGGAATGAGATCACAAAAAAATTAAACCCCTCCTTTCGCTTTTGGTAGGGGAAGTGCACAAGTCAACATGTAAAGATAGACTTTGTAATCAATAGTGCTAAGCATACTCTGGATATGTTTGATTCACCTTATTTGGTTTTCAAACTCAAATGCAGACTTTAATTTATATATTTTTTAAAATGTATTTAATTTAAATATATTTAAGAAATAAAATATTTATAAAAAAAATTGAAAAATTTTATTAATAATGAAAAAATAAAACAAATAAAAAAAAAACAAAAAATGGCACATTTCTTAAATTTTTGTTTTTAGTGAATTTTGGTATAATTTTTTCATAAATATTTTACATATCTAAAAATTGTAAAAATGTGATTAAAATATGATTAAGAAAAAATCAATAAAAAAAATTCAAAAACCAAAAATATGTTTTGGGCTCTTTTCTCTTTCTTTGATCCCAACCTGTTGTTTGGATCTTTAATTTTTTGAGAGAACAGAAAAACGAAGTAGAAACTTTAATTTTTTTTTCTTTCCCAAATTTTTTGTTCTTCAAAAATTCAAAATAAACGAGCAACGTTGTAGGAGTGTCTCTATTTACACACCATATTTTATTTCAAGGCAAACAATTACTCAAGGCACACCTTTAATAATTTGATGAGTAAATATTTTGCTTAATACACACTACAATCTTCCATCTTTATTCCTGCTCACACATCCCACCCACAATCTTCCATCTTTACCCTCACTCACTCACACACCCCACCTACCCACGATATTCCATATCCCCTTCCATTCTCTATTTAAACCGGTGAAGACATGTTGCTCAATACTCTGTTTTTCTCATCAAAGACGTCGTCGGTGGACATGTAACTTACTAACTTATTCTATTCGTAGCAAATTAAACTGGGCAAGCGGAAATAAAAATAATTAAATAGGAAATTATTTCATTTTACTATTTTAATAAGAGAAAATACATCTATAGGGCTTTTATTATTTAATTATTCAGTGACTGGCCCCGAATAGAAACAAAAGGGAGCAAAAATATTTTTTAAAAAAAGAAAAAGAAGACAAAACGGTGGTTCAACATCAATCCTTGTGCGGGTTTCATTACATAAGGTTATGAGTTCCCCCTACATCTTGTCACCTGAAAGGGTAACAACTATAAACACACAGCAGAGTGAGAAATATTATGCCAAGAGTATAGGGAATACAAAATAATTATGGATAGTTAGTTAAGTCAAAACATTTACATAACTCAATTTGGTAAATAAATCATTTAAATGGCAGAAGCTGAAATACAAAGGTGCCGTTTGGTAACACTTACATTTTCAGTTTTCTGTTTATATTTACAAAAATTTTAAAAACTCAAATAAAAACTTGTTTGGTAAAATTTTTGATTTATAAATCAGTGGTCTCAGTTTATAAATTTGGCCAAAAAATGAAAACACAAAAAATGTGTTTCCGTTTTAAGTTTTGAATTTTTTTTTTTTTACTACCCAACACTAGCCACCACCCACCACCATTTTCCACCACCGTTAACATGCACCCAGGACAAAATAGCTACTCAAAGATCACAATGTGCAGGTGGAGCACATGCTCTTCACAAATTTAAATACGTCTTATGGGAATTGAAACTTGAAATTCAAAGGATTTTATACAAGTTCAGATAAAACAGCAAGCAAACACAAGATATAAAAAAATTGACATATTCATTAAACATAATTTTTTGAGGAGTAAAATAAAACATTGAGAAGACAATTATGATAGGAAAAAAATGCATGACCAAGTACACAGATTATATTAGAACAACTCACGATGAAAGGAATGAAAGCTATCCAAAAATAGGTATGCCACCCTGCAAAACAAAATAATAAATCACTTTTCATCTAAATATCTTAACATGTGCCAAAACCAGAAACAATAATATAATGACACAAATTAAAAAAAAAAAAGGATAATGAATATCACAGAGATTTGTGCAGGTGAATCCAGAAATTTGGGAGGAGACCAACTTTTGTGTTCAGGAACTTGTCACTGTAACTTGGAAGAGTCTAAACCTCTTCCCATCTAATTTGAGCACCCGCACACAAAAATTAAAAATAAATAAAACAAAATAGAAAACTCCAAACACTTTTTGAGTAACAAACCTAAACATTTGACTGAACCCCAATAACATTGAGCAACAACATGAAACTAAAATTAAAGCACAAGAAAATAATCAATTCGCTTGACGACATTTGGCATTAGGATTTAAAGTGAAAGTAACATACCACTGACATTCAGCAACAAGAAGATGACCACAAATATCCATAGATACCAACTGCAACCAACCAAATCTGATATTAACCCATGAAAAAAAGAAAAAAGGAACAAAGATGGATATTAAAATAAAAGGAAATTCTATTTTTAGGCAATACCCTCCTAGTACTAAACAATGGAAAACCAGCACTAAAAACTCTTTCTTTTTTTTCCTAAGAAAATAAATAATTAATTTTGGCAATATGCCCAATGAAATTTTTGTCAATTACCAAACGCGTTTGTAGTTTATGTTTTTCTAAAAATAAACAAAAACCAGTTTATAAAATTTTTGTAAATATAAACTGAAAACGTAAACGTTACCAAACACATGTAAATAAATAACCATAACCACGGTACATAACAAAATAGAACATAACAGAGGTCACAGAAATGATAATCAGAACAGAGGTCAATGGATCCATGACAAACAGAGGATCACAAATTGGCCAAACAGAGGCCAATGGTTATTTAAGTCTCTCAATGCGTGGGACTCCTGTGGTGATACTTACAAAACATAATTGTTTATAAGGTCATAGTCAAATATTCTTTAAAATTTAAACAAACATATCTATGGGTTTCATTTTAAACAAATAAAGTTCAGAAATGAATCCACGTAACTGAAATATTAATATAATTTATAAAATATAACTTGTATTAATATAACTCATAAAATATAATTTGTATAAAATAAATTGTGGTATGTCAAAACATACGTAAAATATATTATGGTGACTCAATATATAATATAACTCACCTTAATATTGACCCTTATTATTTCCTTTGATTTTTCGATTTTTCCTTTACTTACTTTTCTGCCGAAGCCCTTTTGTCTTGGGTTTTTTTTTTTCCTTCTACTGGTACCAACATCACAACCCCCACCTATTTATATACTAAGTTGGGTGATGGCTCACCATTTACTTAATGACCCTAAGCGATGACTCACCACCCCTAGATGTACAGATGGCTCCACCTCACTACCTTAGTAATATTTGCAAATCCTTTCATTTAACAACAAATGTTGAAATAGATTTTTACTTGATTTGTCTAATTAATTCTATTCCTTCCAATCTTCTTATACTAATTAGTGATTAATTTAGCCCTCAAATAATTTTCTTCATCACATATTTGATAATTACAATAGTAAATTAATTTACATAGCACGTATAGCTTAGCTATTTTATTATTATGGTTATTATTATTAATTAATTTATTTATTAAATAATATATTATCACATACAACCATAATTATATATAACTATAAATATTTATGTGGTATTTAATTAAACACTTAGGGTGTCACATTTCTCCCCTCCTAAAAGGAAGTTTGTCCCCAAACTTGACGTACCTTAATTTTCGAAGAGGTGTTTGTATTTGGCTCGCATTTGACTTTCCGTTTCCTATGTAGCTTCTTCGATACGATGATTTCGCCATAAGACTTTTACCAGCGGTATGGTCTTGTTTTAGAGAACTTGATTACGACGATCGAAAATCTATACTGGTTGCTTTTTGTAAGAGAGATCCTCTTGAACTTCTAGGTTCTCATAATCAACAACATATTCTGGATCTCGAAGATACTGTTGAATCGTTGAAACGTGAAACACATTGTGGACATTGGATAGTTCAGGTAGTAGTGCAAGGAGATAGACTACAGGACCAATCCTTTTCAGTATCACGAATGGCCCGATGTAACGCGGGTTTAACTTTTCTCACTTTCCGAATCGGATAAATCCTTTTGTTGGTGAGATCTTAAGGAACACATGATCCCCTACTTGAAATTCCAAGTCCCGTATCCGTATATCTGCATTACTTTTTTGGTGGCTCTGAGTAGTGCGAATTCGTTGTTGGATGAGTTAGATTTTCTCTCTTGTGACTTGCACGATCTCAGGGCCTATCAGTTTCATGTCCCCAACTTTCGTCCAACACAGAGGTGATCGACATCTCTTTCCATACAAAGTTTCATACGGTGCCATTCCAATGCTTGCTTGATAGCTGTTGTTATAGGCGAATTCCACTAAAGGTAGGTGCTCATCCCAGTTACCTTTGAGGTCCAACATGCATACACGTAACATGTCTTCCAATGTCTGGATTGTTCTTTCGGATTGTCCATCAATTTGTGGGTGATAAGCAATGCTAAACTTTAGTGTGGTTCCCAAAGCTTCTTGTAATTTGTTCCAGAAGTGAGACACGAAGCGGGGGTCTCGGTCAGACATTATTGAAACTGGAATACCATGCAAACGAATAATTTCCTTGATGTATAAAGTGGCAAACTTATTAAGGGAGTACATGATTTTGATTGGTAAAAAATGTGCCGACTTTGTCAATCGGTCATCATTCTTCGAAAATGACTGTGGTAGCCCGACCACGAAGTCCATAGTGATGTGTTCTCATTTCTATTTAGGAATAAGGAGTGGTTGCAGCAATCCTGTAGGTCTCTGATGTTCTGCTTTAACATGCTGACAATGCAGACATTTAGAGATATGGCTTGTTATGTCTCTTTTCATTCCTATCCACCAGTAGTGTTCCTTTAGATCATGGTACATATTGGTGTTGCCAGGGTGGACTGCAAATCTGGAACTATGAGCTTCCACCAGTATCTTCTTCTTGAGTTTCGGAATGTCAGGTACACAAATTCGATTTCGAAATTTTAGTATTCCATTGCTTATAGTGAAATCAGGATCATGTGTACTCCTTTGCTCATCGTACTTTTTCTTCAAAAGTTTATCTTCACATTGGCACGCTTTAAATTCTTCAATCAATGTAGATTCCACGGTTATGTTGGCGAGTAGTCCATTGATCCTGCGGAAAACGAGAGTACATGCCAAACCTCTGGTCGTCTTTCGGCTCAGTGCACCACGTTAGCTTTGCATGGATGGTGATGGATCTCTATATCATAGTCTTTCATAAATTCTAGCCACCATCGTTACCTCATATTCAGTTCCTTCTGTGTGAACGGATATTTAAGACTCTTGTGATCAGTGTAAATCTCGCAAGTTGCACCGTAGAGATAATGACGCCAGATTTTGAGGGCAAGAATTACCGCAGCCAATTCAAAATCATGAGTTGGGTAGTTCTTTTCATGAGTCTTTAATTATCGCGAAGCATAAGCAATGACTTTTGCATAAGAACACAACCCAAACCATTGTATGAGGCATCACTATAAATTACGAACCCATCTACTCCTGGAGGGAGTGTTAGTACAAGAGCTGACACAAGTCGACGTTTTAATTCTTGAAAGCAATGCTCCTGTTTATCAGTCCATTCAAAGGGTATGTTCTTCTGAGTTAGCTACGTTAAGGGTGATGCTATCTTTGAGAAATCTTGCACGAAGCGGCGATAATAGCTAGCTAGACCTAAGAAACTTCGGATTTCTAACACATTAGTAGGTCGTGGCCAGTCCATGATTGCTGTAACTTTTTGGGAGTCAACCGCGATGTCATATTTGTTAATGACGTGACCGAGAAAGTGTGCACTAGTGATCCAGAATTCGCATTTCTTCAACTTGGCATAAAGTTTGTGATCACGTAGTGTTTGTATAACCGTTCGCAAGTGCTGCTCATGGGCCTCTGGTGACTTGGAGTATATGAGGATGTCGTCTATGAAGACGATGACGTACTCATCAAGATAGGGTTTGAACACTCGGTTCATGAGGTCCATGAAGGCTGCTGGAGCATTTGTGATGCCAAAAAGCATGACAAGAAACTCGTAGTGCCCGTAACGGGTTCTGAAGGCAGTCTTTTCAATACTTTTCGTTTTGACTTTTAGTTGATGGTAGCCAGAACGCAAGTCAATTTTAGAGAATACTTGGGTGCCTTGAAGTTGATCAAACAAGTCTTCGATTCGTAGAAGAGGGTACCGATTCTTGATGGTGACCTTGTTCAGCTCCCGGTAATCGATGCATAATCTCATCGTGCCATCTTTTTTTTTCATGAACAATACTGGAGCTCCCTAGGGTGAGGTACTAGGTTGAATGAAGCTTTTGTCCAGCAGTTCCTGGAGTTAAGTCTTTAGCTCTTTCAATTCTGTCATCGACATGCGATAAGGAGCTTTTGATATTGGTTGTGTGCCAGGTTGGGTTTCAATGGTGAACTCGATTTCCCGATCAACCGGGATACCGGGTAGATCTTCAAGAAAAACATCCGAGAATTCTTGTACTACGGGGATCACATCCACGGTGAAGGCCACTTTTTGTGTATCTATCATATAACAAATATAACTACCACAACCCTTTCTTAGGCCTCGTTTGGCAAGAGGTTATTTTAGCCAATTAGTCAAAAAGTTACTAAATTAGTTAAAAAGCCAACAACTTATATCAAAAAGTCAAAGATTCTCTTTTCTCTCTACTTTTTGCACATCTTTTCGTAATTAGTCAAAAAGTCATCCCAAACATACAAGTTTTTTTTACCTACCTTTTTAGTCAAATAGCCAAAAAGTTACTAAATTAGCCTGTTCCCAAACGAGGCCTTAGAAGTCGTTGGGCTGTCATGGAGGATATAATACAGGGAGGGTTAGAAACTCCAGTCCCATCAAAGACAAGCTCGGGTTAGTTTGATAACCTAAGGGAGACCTTTTTGGCTTTATAATCAATAGAGGCGTAGTTGGCAACCAGCCAATCCATACCTAAGATTACATCAAAGTTCCCAATGCGGAGAAGAATCAAGTCTACATATAAGGTTTTGCCTTTTAAGGATATAGTACATGATCTGTACACATCAGTACTACAAGTAGACTTACCAGAAGGGAAAGACACAGACAATATATATCCTAACGGTTCGGGTGTTGATGTCAACTTGGCAGCAAAGTGTGGTGCAACAAAAGAATGAGTTGACCTAGAGTCAATGAGGACATGAGCTAAATGACCATAGATAGAAAGCATACTCGACACAACGTTTTTGGTAACTTCTAGTTTTCTAGGTAGCAAGGCGAAAGCCCGTCCTTGGCATTTTTGGTCCTTCCTTTCTTCTCCAGGTCCTGCAGGTTTTCTAACTAGGCCAGAGGAGCTGGGTGTAGGATTAGTCAGCTTTGGACAATCCCTCAGCAAGTGGCCAACTTGACCGCATTTAAAGCATGCTCCCATGTCTCGATGGTATTGTCCCCAATAAGCCTTCCCACAAGTAGGACAAATTGGAATAGTGCCACCTCGGGGGTTGGTAGGACCTTGATTGCCTGAACTGGTTGTGCCCATATTCACCTTTTTGGGAGGCGCAACACTGGATCTTTTGTTGTCTCTTTCCCAGAATCGCTTCTTTTGGCTTGGTTCCCCAGAACGCGAGACTTTAATCTCCTTTTTTGCAATGTACGCCCAGTCTACCATTTTTGCATAGGTTAGCAGTTTCAAGACCTCAAGCCTATCTTTAATTTCAACATCCAATCCTGTTTCAAATTTTCTTGCTTTTCGAGTTTCAGTGGAGATGACGTATGTCGCAAATCAAGCGAGTTGTGTGAACTTGCTCTCATATTCGACCACCATCATGATTCCTTACTTTAGATGTATGAATTCTGATGCCTTCTGTTCCCGCAATGAATCTGGGAAGTATTTTTCATAAAATACTTTCAAGAATCTTGCCCAAGTCGCAATTTCTTCTTTCTCCAGAGTGAGAAGCCACCATTCCTGTGCATTGTCTTTGAAAGTGAAAGTGGCGAAAATTACCTTTTGTCTTTCGGTACAGGGTAGGGCACGAAAAATATTTTCCATGTCTTTAACCCAAGCGTCTGCTACCATTGTGTCTGGGCCACCGGTAAATGTGGTGGGTTTCAGATCCTGAAACTGTTTTATGGTAACTGGCTCTTCTCGCCATTCTGGCCATTGTTGATGTTAGTCTGCAAGGCTTGCAAAAAGCTAGTAACTGCTCTTTCTATTATTCTTTCCATCGATTCAGTGCTACTGAGTGATGACTCGCTTCCGTTACCATTATTGGCCATTCTACAAAGTAATAAACGAGGCATTATATTCACAACACAGCATATATGTAAGCATGTGTAGCGCAATCTATATCTATATAAAATGTCAACTTTACTATTTTTTCAATTAATATTATATCTTTGTTTCAAAAGTCAGAATATGTTAGTGTCTCATCCCTGTGGTAAACAAAAACAAAAAGACAACAAAAAAGGGATTAGAACATATCATGGTAAGCATACAAAAAGGTTTTCTTCTACCAAATCTAGAGTGGTGAGTCAAATGGGCCAAACAACCATGGGAAGTAGTGTTGCATAAAAAGCTCAAATTCTCATCCTAACTAGACTACACCAAAACACATCCATGCTGCCTAGACTGTGAAACTGGGGACAGACTATATGTATCCCAAAAATGCTTGATCAACAATCCAGCCGGGTGTCTCAATATATGACAAGTCATTATTAAAGTCAACATTTTGAATATTAATTATCTCCAGCGGGTTAGGGACAGTGGTGAAAATATAGTCCTCAGGGTACACATTCCCCCTTCTGGCCACAAAATCTGGGGGTAGAGGGCCTATGATGTAGTGCAAGTGGTCATGTCCTGGAGCAACACCGAGGACACGAATGGGTCCAAAAAAACGTCCGCGCATATACGCATGGCTCTGCCTCCATAGTAAATGTGGGACATCGATAGGATCAGCCTGTATATAGATTGGCCGACCCGTCAATTGGGCAAGGCCTGGGTGCAGTCCTCTGATTATATCCTCTGAATCTCCCCAACCCTCAGTTGAGGCGGGGGTGGGGTGCTCTACTAAAATCTCACCTAAATTAATGGCCCCAAACTCATCCCAAAACGCATCATCAAGGTTAATCTCAAACATTCCTACATCACTAGAATAAACGTGAGATTTTGCATAAAAGGACTAACGGTGCAGTTAAATATTTATTATTTTTTTTTATTTTATTTTATTATGTTTATCTAGCTATATAGATTTATTTATAACTTTTCAAACTTTATGATCAAATTAAAATAACATTTTTTTTTGAACCATTATTCTGATACCACCTTTGTCACGACCCAACCCCAGGGGCTTAGAGTTGGAATCGCAACTTACTAACTTATTCTATTCGTAGAAAATTAAACTACACAAGCGGAAATAAAAATAATTAAACAGAAAATTACTCCATTTTACTATTTTAATAAGAGAAAATACATCTATAGGGTTTTTATTATTTTATTATTCAGTGACCAGCCCCGAGTAGAAACAAAAGGAAGCAAAAATATAAAGAAAAAAGAAAAGGAAGACAAAATAGTGGTACAATATCAATCCTCGTGTGGGTTCCATTACGTGAGGTTATGAGTTCCCCCTACATCTTGTCACCTAAAAGGGTAACAGCTATAAGCACACACCAGAGTGAGAAATATTATGCCAAGAGTATAGGGAATTCAAAATAACCATGGATAGTTAGTTAGGCCAAAACATTTACATAACTCAATTTGGTAAATAAATAATTTAAGTGGCAGAAACGGAAATACAAAAATTATGTAAATAAATAACCATAACCACGGTACAGAAAAAAAAACAGAACAGAGGTCACAGAAGTGATAATCAGAACAGAAGTCAATAGATTCATGACAAACAGAGGACCACAAAGTGGCCAAAGGTTATTTAAGTCCCCCAAGGCGTGGGACTCCCATGGTGGTACCTACAAAACATAATTGTTTATAAGGTCATAGTCAAATATTCTTTAAAATTTAAACAAACATATTCATGGGTTTCATTTTAAACAAATAGAGTTCAGAAATTAATCCACGTAACTGAAATATTAATATAATTTATAAAATATAACGTGTATTAATATAACTCATAAAATATAATTTGTATAAAATAAATTGTGGTAAGTCAAAACATATGTGAAATATATTATGGTGACTCAATATATAATATAACTCACCCTAATATTGACCCTTACTATTTCCTTTGATTTTTCGATTTTTCCCTTACTCACTTTTCTGCCGAAGCTTTTTTTTTTTGCTTCTTCTGCTGGTACCAACATCACAGCCCCCTCCTATTTATATATTAAGTTGGGTGATAACTCACTATTTACTTAATGACCCTAAGCGATGACTCACACCACCCCTAGATGTACAGATGGCTCCACCTCACTACCTTAGTAATATTTGCAAATCCTTTCATTTAACAACAAATCTTGAAATAGATTTTTACTTGATTTGTCTAATTAATTCTATACCTTCCAATCTTCTTACACTAATTAGTGATTAATTTAGCCACCAAATAATCCTCTTCATCACATATTTGATAATCACAATAGTAAATTAATTTATATAGCACGTATAGCCTAGCTATATTATTATTATGGTTATTATTATTAATTTACTTATTTATTAAATAATATATTATCACATACAACCATAATTATATATAACTATAAATATTTATGTGGTATTTAATTAAACACTTAGGGTGTCACAGTAGGTGAGTTCTCATTTGTCTTAGATTTTAGGGTTTTGTGTACTTATTTCCATTGCCATGAAATTTGTATTTGAATGAGTCAGTTTCTGAACCATTTGACACTGGAATTTCAAACCCCAAACATCTGTACTATCGATTTGTTTCGGAAAACAGTTGTTCGACACCTGACTTTCGAACAATAGCAGTTTGTCAGGTCTGTTATTATCGAACATGTTCGATATCTTAGTGTCGAACCTTAAGTAGTAATTCGGATGTAGATTGCCGAACACCAATAACATGTTCGAACAGATACTGTCGAATAGTATCGATTTTATTTATTTATTTATTTTTTTTTGTGTCTTATTGATTTCTTTGTTGTGAACATTAGCTAGAGGGCCAGACAAGAAACATGTGAATGATGTCTCATAAGACAAGAAACAAGTCATGTCTTGTAACTACAATAGGTTGGCTAGAAGAATATGTTATAAATCAGTGAGCTGGATAGATGCTCACAACAGGTGCATGTCCATACCAAATAGGATACATTTGATCAAATGTTTCTGTTGAAACTGAATGGTGTCAATGATCTTAAGATCTCCACATTAGTGCCATAGAAAAGTAATTTTTCAATAAATATTAGAATAATGCTAGGCATCATGAAACAAATATCATGAAATACTTCATGAAACAGGATAATACTGAGTTTTGTGCTCAATAATGTAAAGGAAATTGGGCCATGGACACCTTACAAAAAGAGAAGTTAAGGACTCAAAATAAAATAATGGAAATGAAACCAAGGGAAGTTATAATTCTATTCTTCATCCCAAAAATAAAATAAATAAATAAATAAAAACTCTTTTATTATTTTTTTATCAACGATTAAAAAATAACAAAATAATGGGAATGAAAGCAAGGGAAGTTAGAATTCTGTCAAACAGTATCTTTTTTTTTTTTTTTTTTTTTTTTTTTCAGTACCTGTTTGTTTGTTTGTTTGTTTTTTTTTTTTGTCTTATTGATTTCTTTGTTGTGAACATTATCTAGAGGGCCAGACAAATAGATTGTATAGCCATTACGCTTTCGTAAAATCAATTTATTATGCTTTCACATAGTCAAATAAAGTGTTACTTCTGTGCTATGTTTGCCATACTATAAGATCTGCTCAATTTCTGCTACTTTTTTTTTTCTTTTTTTTGTAATTATTTTTTTAAAGCAAGGATATTACCCAATGTTGGTATGCAGTCCCAATCAATTTTACAAAACAAGTTACTGTGGGTTATTTCGAACTTAAAGAAACAAGAATTTGAATAATTGTGAGTGTTTTAACATAAATGATTTGTGTTACTTCTGTTAACTTTATTGTTTTTTGTTTCATTTTCAGAAATTGATGACCCTTCGCGTATTCCACCTGCTGCCTTAGAGAGACGATGTCGTGCATTAAAAAATCTTGGTCGTGGCCGAGGTCGGGGTTGGGGTAGAGGTCGGGGTGATGATATTGTGTTGGAGGAAGCACCTCAAATCTTGGAAGATGATGTGATTGATAATGGTTTAGGGGATGATGATGATGCTGTTGATGTTGATCAGGCTGAGGAGGTACTTACTGGTCCGTTTCTTGGGGGGCCATTAGATCCATCAATACTGAAGAGCTTCAAGGCACATATTGCAGTAGCTATATGGGAGCAAAAGGTAGTACATATTTTTTTTTCATGTTTCATTCATTTAATTATTTATTGAACCAAATTATTTATGTTAATTATTACCTACCTTGCAGGAGAGGAATCCCTTAAGGTGTTATAATCATGCGTTCAAGATTCTAGAGTGGCGGTGGTGGTCAAGAACCAACAATAGAAGGTTTAGAGACATCGTGTAACAGTCAGGCCTTTCTTCTTTGGTCCATTGCACATATCGGTTTGTGAATAGGATTGTCATACCTGTATTTGTTGAGCGATGGCAACCAGAGACAAATACTTTCCATTTGACAGTTGATGAGATGACAATGACATTGGATGATGTGGGTACCATTTTGGGGATCCCTATCACAGGTAGATCAGTTAGTGCTACAACTTTGACAGATCAACAGGCACATACACTTGTGGTAGCTGCCTTGGGGGTTGATGATACTGAAGCAATTGAGGAGCTACCATCTGCTAAGGGATAATTAGTAAAGCTGGAGTGGTTACAAAGCAAATTCAGTGGTTGCAAAGATTCAGACACCAAGAAATCCATAGCTTGTGCCGCCAAAGCGTATTTGCTATTTCTATTGGGATGTACATACACTGTTCAGCGACAAGAGTGAGAAGAGAGTTCCTGTTGTGTACTTACAGTTGTTGATGGATTTGACTGATATTCATACATATGCTTGGGGTGCAGCTGCATTGGCACATTTATACCGACAGTTGGAATTTGCCACGAGATCAGCTGTTCGACAGATGGCCGGTTACATGACATTATTGGAGGCATGGATTTATGAGCATTTTCGGCCATTTAAACCTCACCAAAACATGGAATATACTATACAATTGCCTCACGTGCATCGATGGACGCCTCGTCGGGAATCTAGATCAACGGTATCACACCTACAGGTGTTACGGGAGGAGCTTGACAGATTGGCATTTCATGAGGTATACCAATTAATATTAGTTCAATTAAGTGTTTTCATTACATGTCACTCATTAAGATTTCATTTGTGTTTCTTTCTTAGGTTACTTGGGATCCATATCGAGGTTGTCGTCAACATCACCCATGTCATGAGATCATATTCTATACCTACTATTTGAAGTGTTTGGATGTAGTTGAACCCTATCATCCTGAAAGGGTTCTTAGACAGTTTGGTAGGGTTCAGACCATCCTACCTGCGCCACTCGACCCTGTTCTTGCTGTTAGAGGTGTCATAGTAGGCTGATATAGAGTGATGTATCATTATCTCGATTAGATATGAGAGAGTTAGGATAATCATGTTTTATCTGCTCGGAGGAAGAGTACCCCAGTTAGATATCTAGCTAATTGTGTTGATGGTTACATGCAGTGGTACATAAGTATCACACACTTATATATCCAGAACCCCACACATCGGTCTGGTTTTGACCCACGTGCACATGATAGTTGATCTGATGTGCAAGATGCTGAGGTATGACAATATTACGCACACATTGTTTACATTTTTTTTTTGAAGATGGCACGTGCTTATTACAATTGTATTTGTTCGTAATACAGCTTATTGATCACACACTACGGATTGCGCATCCTATCATCGAGGCGAGCCATGATGTTGGTATTCGTGAGCCAGATAGGTTATATGAGGCCATTGAGAGGATGGCACGTGTTCTTCAGGGTCAACAAATTGATGAGGTTGGACCTAGTTCTATTCCATTTAGAACATACAATCGTAGGAGACGAGTAGATGATAGGTAATTAATTTTGTGGTAATCTTGTTTTGTTAATTTGTAATTGTGACAACCCTCACCTCTGATTAGTACTAATCTGTGATTGAGCACGATAAGTAACTGATTAAGGTGAAATTCTGAACTGATTGCATGAGTGGGTTGCATTAGTTGCATTTCTATTTGTTTGTCATTATATGATATGTTTACGTTTTAATTTCAAACTGTGAATTGAAGGTCTTATCGGCGACCGAATCAGAAATTGATTAGTATTTTATGCTAGTTAGAATTTATGTGATTTTATGGTAGGTTTAATTAAAATTTGATTTGAAGTGATTAAATTAGATTAAATGATGTTAAATCGCATTAGTTCAAGTAATTACCTTATTGCCATTAAGTGGACAATGCTAGGCCCTTTATTTAGTCTTGATTTATATATGCTTGGCATCACTCTTCATCACTTTCCTAGACCAAAACCGTGAGAGATAGAGAGAGAGAGACTTGGTAGGAGATTGAATTCATCAAGAATTGTTTGAACTTAGAAAAATTGAAGGGAATTTGCATAATTGAGCTTCCACATCTAGAATTCAAGACATAAGATAGGAATTCACCTTATTCATTATGAAATTAAGTTGTTTCTTGCATGGTTCATGAAGATTTGGAGTTTAAAGTCAACAATTAATTTGAAAGAGTTGAATTGTGAGCTAATTCATGCATTCATGTACATATTCTTGCATTTTGAGGTTATTTTCATGGAGACTCTTACATGCATGTTCATATTTTGGTAGAGGTCCATGAATTCACCATGATTTTGAGCTCAACATTGCATTTGATCTTTTTTTGGAACACTAGAGCTCTTGAAAACTCATGCATGTGTAATTTTGCATTATTCTTCGTATTTACACTTAATTTTGTGTTCAATTGGCTTACTTTTGGGCTTGATTTCATAAATTGATCTTTGAAACGTGTTGTACTATGAGTCTTCAAGTGTTTTCCAGAAAATTAGCCCAAAAGAATCGAGTTTGAAGCTTTAGAAGTTGAATTTTGTGCTTGAGGATCAATCTGAAAATTCTAGATTTTGGATCCATGCTCGAGCGGGGGACTTCACGCTCGAGCGTACACTCTGAGTACATGCACTTTCACTCGAGCGTAGAAAGTCACGCTCGAGCGTGAAATGCATATGCCCAGAAGTTCATATGTTTTGCAGTCTGCTCGAGCGGAGGTTGAGCGTCTGTCAAGTGTGAAATCATGCATCCAGTACTTTTTCATGAGTTTACAGTCCGCTCGAGCGAGGGAAGTCACGCTCGAGCGGAGCTCCTTTGTCTGTATGTCCGCTCGAGCGTAGAAAGCCACGCTCGAACGAGACCCCTGTTTCAGCAAAAATTTGAAAAGTGTTTTAAAGTGCATTTTTGCATCCTCATTCCATCCTAGGCATTCCTAGGCCATGTTTAAGGCATCTTAATGAGGATAATGTTATGGAACCACACCATGTATAATTAGGGGCTAAGTTATTAATCTCGTGTGTGTGTTCGTTCTGCAACTGTAGGGTTGGCATCCGAGGACGCTCGTTAGCTTGTCTATAGCCCAGTGCTCTGTGAGTAACAATGTTGTAAAGATATGTTCAATTATGATTATTTTCTGAATGATCAACTGTTCTACTTACTGAAACGTTATTGTTTAATGAATGAATGTTTGTCCGATTTGTAAATTGTATTTGTGGCATCCATAGCAATTTACTGTTACTGTACTGTTACTGCTATTGTCACAGAGATCTTTGTCGGTTCCCATGTTTGGACCACTACTATTACTGTTATGATGGCCATCAACTGACTGTTCGGTCTGTTAAGACCTACTGTACTATTTTGCTATGGGATGCACCACATATGACTGCTGTGATTTCTAAGTGACTGATATGACTGTTTAATTACTGAAAGGGCATTCATTTTTAACCCCTTTACATAACTGTTATTCACTGGGCTTTAGCTCACTGTTTATATATATATATATATATATGTAGGTGTCCAGGCACCGGACTGGAGCTAGGAGCGTTGGGTTAGCTCTTGTTTTGTCAAGCCAACCTATGTGCCTCGCCTCGAGGTTCCAAGTCCGTCCAAGCCATGGCTGTTTTGGGGTGTTCAGATTCACCCTTTTGTTTCTATTTTGTAATAGTTGAACAAGACTTGACTGTACAGTTATAGTTAGGGATTTGGTCCCTGACATAGATGTTTGTAGATATGTCGCATGTATATTTGTTTTGTTTATCAACGTGACTTATGCATAAAGTCTTTTTGCATTAAGACTGTCACAGCTCATTGGATATCTTTTATTTACTGTTTTGGCTTCCGCCAGCCCCTTTACTCTGTATTACTGTCATTACTGTTAAGAAGGCCTTCGGTAATCACGGATTACTGGCCGGTTATGGTGCTAAATTCATAGGGGCAGATTTGGGTCGTCACAGTAATGGAAGAGAAGAACTCTTTTGATGTTTTTATTGTTTTGTAATGAACAAGAATTACTCTACCAAAATTTTGTAATGAACAAGTATGCATGGTTTGCATTTTTGGTAATTAACAGGAAGTATTATGCCAATGCGTTTGACACACCGCAATAAACAAGTAGTACTATGTGCATTAAATTTACTAAAAGCTTAATCCAACTCAACTATTTAAATGCTCATCTGCAAGAAAATGTATCAGTAACTATTTGAATTGCATAACTACAACTCAACTCACAGACATCATTACTCGTCAAGGTTAATACAATCAAATGTCTCTCTAGTAGCTAACCCTGAATGAACAACTTTTTTAAAATTCTCAATTCGGTGACTATATGCATTACCCCATCTAGCCGCACAAGAATGATGAAACTTGCACCAATTGGTAGCTATCGGTAGAACTGGATAACCCGATAACATAAACATCTACATTGACAAAGTTTTAAGTATGAAAACGATGCAGTACAAAATGATAAAATGTATTACACAAATCATAATGCTATACCTGGACAAAATAATTCCCATTAACAAACCCAATAACAATCTCACGCCATTGCACTTGTGATATTGGCACTGATTGTAGAGGGAGAAATGTAAGGCATTGTTGTGCAGATAAGTGGTACAATACCACATTATTACAAGATGCAATAAGATGACCCATGTCAGGCATAGTCATCTAACGGTGATACCCTGGATTGGGCTTAAAGTATGATAGAATATGGGTCAGCTCTTCAATCCTGTTATGTGAGCCATATAGATGAGTGTAATGGTCTATGTGTGTATGCAATTCCTGTTGGAGATCATGCCTGACTTGACCACATTTAGCCTCTATAAGCCCCATCAAGCCAGTAATGGCCCTAAAACCACAATTGCCATCAGCATCTACATCTTTGATAAGATGTATGTACGGCTCAATCCAACTAGGAGGGCATCAACATACGAGTCCGTTATATACTTATTCAATAGGAATGGTATCAACACATGAACAACAAAACACGTAATTTATCATCAACAAAAATGTAAGTAAAAAATGATTACATGTACCTTCTCATTGGCGGGCCATTTTTTATGTACTTTGACGGAATCCTGTGTGGGGATCTAGGTGCCCATAGGTGAGTAGCTATCACATCCAAACTAAACCAACTCAAATGCACATGGCTCTCGACGTGTAGATACATCTATCTTTTTATGTCCCTTACCTCGAGGGTTGGGCTTCACATCTAACTTAATGAGACAAGTACTTTGCAGATTTGCAATCTCTCCTAACTTATACAGAATTTCCAA